CTCTCCATCTTCTCTATGCATATCTCAGCATTAATCTGCAACACGTTATTTTGTTGATGACATGTTATACGCAGTACTTCTATATTGCTGTGAAAAAAGTCGTTGGATGTCATTGCAGAGGCGAAGAGTTTTCTATGGCGTTTCAGAATCAATTTTCATCAGAAATGGAGAGTTCGCAACATTTCTCAGAGCAGCACCTATACGACAGTCCGTCTCTCTTGCGGAGTATACTTCCTGAACAGCTATCAACGCAGTCGACGCGGACCGGAATTCAGCCGGAAAACCACCATCACCAGCAACAGGCGCCGCCACCGACGTGGCTCGACAGCGTAGTCTATCGGCAACAGGACCAGTTCGTCGGCGTCGGCGATGGATCGGGAGCCATAGCAGAAGCGAATTTCCTCAATATGCAAAGCAACTCGGAGTCATCTTCCGCTGCGGCGGAGGCGCGCCTCGAGCCAGTGGCTTTCGAGAGCAATTGCACATGGAAGCGTTAGGGACGACGAAGTCTCGGAGTCCAGAAATTCAATTACAGCCGCCGGGATTATGCACGGGCCGCCGAGTAATTGCAACGCAGTCGGCGACGGCGAGGACTATAGAAACACAGGTTGTCGCCGCGGAGGAGGAAGTGCTGAGGTGGCCGAGGGCGGAGTCGGCGGCGGCGGCGGCTCAGGAAAGGAGAAATCGGAAATTGAAAGGTACAAAGCCGATATATCAGGACATCCGTTATACGAGCAACTGCTAGCAACCCATGTGGCGTGCTTGCGAATTGCGACGCCGGTGGATCAACTCCCGAGGATCGACTCTCAGCTTGCGCAAACTCATGAAGTCATCGTCCAGAAATACTCTGCCCAGATTGGAAATGGAAATCTCAATGGCGACAGAGAGCTCGATCAATTCATGGTAGATGTTTCAGGCATAATTCTTATTCACTAATACTACCCGTTCCGTTAATGGCGGGGCCGACTAATGAATTTGGAGGTCCCTAAAACAAGAAAAAATACAAATTTTAATAACGAAATACTATTAGACTTGACTGTTCAATGAAATATAACTTTTATGATGTCTAAAGTACACAAATTAGAGAATCTAAATATTACATACCTTTTGAAATCTTGAATAGTGCATAACATCCAGAAAAATGAACTTATAACTAGTATTACGAAATGAACTTATAACTAGTATTACGTTCTCAATATTTGGAGGCCCTCTACGAGAGTAGACCCCAGTGTGAAGCACCTATTGCACATCCTAAAAGACAGCCTTGATTCTGAAACGAGAGGTGATACATTTATTAGTAAAAATAAGTTTATAAATTGATTAAATAGTAATAAAGTAATAATGAATTAAAATCATAAAAATTTTAACAAATTTAGTACGTAGTATGTAACAATATTAGAGCAATTTCAATGGCTCATTTATAGGACTTGCTTGCAATTTTAAAGTTAATAGCTTATCATTAAAGCATTGTTCCTTTTATTTGAGAAAACTAATTAATCAAAATGAGATACTAGCTTGAGTAAGAAAAATTGTTTAATATAAAATCATTAATAATAAAAGAAGAGAAAGAAGATATAACTAACCATTGAAACACATTTTAATTTTGTTTCAAATGTTTATGTGATTAGTCAAGTCATAAGGGCAATTAGTTAAGCGTTGGAGATAATCTTAGTGAAACCGATGAAAAAGGAAAGATGAAACAATTTTAATGAAGCAAAATGAGTATATACGTAGTAACTAAATTTAAAAGATAGAGTTCTTAGGTTTAATATCTTCTGCTAAGTTGTTCTAGCAGAAACACTTATGTGGAGCTTGTTCTTCAAGATTTTAACGATAAATCGAAGTATCAATCAGGACAAAGAAACTGTTCTCTTCGCCTGATCTGAATGTTTCTGATCTGAATTTTTTAAGTTTTGATCTGATCTAATCTGAATTTTTCTGATCTGATCTGAATCCTTCTGATCTGATCTGAATCTTTCTGATCTGATCTGATTTTGAATATTTCTATGATTATAATTATTATTATAATTATTATAATTGCAATTACAAATATAATTTAAATAAAATTATAATTATAATCGTAACTATAAAAATAATAATAAATAATAATAATAATAATTAAAATTAAATTTAAAATGAAAAAATTTATACTTATTACACTAATTATAAATATAGATATAATTATAATTGTAATTATATTTTTAATTATAATTACTTATATAATTATAATTGTAATTATAATTACAATATTTATCTCTATAATTGTAACTATAGTTATCAATATTATTATAATTACTCCGTAAAATAATTACAATAGTAATAATAATAATAATATTAATAATTATAATCATAAATTATAATTATAAGTATAATTATAATTATAATTAAATAATAATTATAATTATATTAACATTAATTATAATTATATTAACATTAATTATAATATTATAATATAATAATAGTAATATAAATACAATTAATATTATAATAATGATATTATTATATTTATATTATTATTACAATAATATAATAATAATATGATTATTATTATTATAATTAGTATTATATTATTATAATATTATATTATAATTATAATTATAATCATAATTATAATTATGATTGTAATTATAATTATAATTATTATAATTATAATTAATTAACAATTATAATTATAAATATTTATAGATATAATTATAATAAATACAATTGATTATACTTATAATTATAAGAATTATAATTGTAATTATAATTATAATTACATATAATTATAATATAATATTATATTAACATTAATCATATTATTATTATTATATTGTAATAATAATAATAATAATAATAATAATAATAATAATAATAATAATAATAATAATAATGATAATGATAATGATAATGATAATGATGATGATGATGATGATGATGATGATGATGATGATGATGATGATGATGATGATGATGATGATGATGATGATGATAATAGTCTTCTTAATAATTACATTTATATTACTATTATTATATTAAAATTTTATAACTATTATTAATATCTTATTTTTTTTATCATATTATTATTATTAATATTATTAATAATAATTATATAATAATAATAATCATAATTGTAATAACAATATTGATAATAATAATTAATATAATAATAAAAGTGATAAATCATGTTTGAACTTTTCTGATCTGATCTGATCTGATCTGAATGTTTCTGATCTGATCTGATCTGAATGTTTCTGATCTGGTCTGATCTGATCTGAATCTTTCTGATCTGATCTGAATCTTTCTGATCTGATCTGATCTGATCTGAATTTTTCAGATCTGATCTGATCTGATCTGAATTTTTCTGATCTGATCTGAATTTTTCTGATCTGATCTGATCTGATCTGAATTTTTCTGATCTGATCTGATCTGATCTGATCTGAATAAAATAAGAATAAGCAATAAGTAATAAGAATAAGACGAACAGAACAACACCAAAGATGAAGCATGTCGATCGCTACAAATTTTGAACGATTGAAAAGTGAAAACTATTTACAAAAGACTTAAAATGTCGTACATTTTGATTTGGCGTGAAATTGCAATTGAAAAGTGACATAAATATAATCACTAATTATTTTAATAATGTGTGATCACATTTTAGTCATGGGAACTATTCAATAGTCATGTTACGTATCGAATTTTTTTATGAATTGCTTGAATGAATAAACTCAGATCAGGGAGTGACATTACTTTAAAAATGAAGGAAAATGATGGTGTACATGGTCATGTAGAGATGGTGTGCAACATTCACATACGATGTACGGAGTACTTTTTAAAAATATGCCCAATATCATACGTAATATATGTGTATATTTGTCAGAGTCAACTAACAAGATACATATTATATACGTAGTAACTACGTGGTATATTTGTAGAGCCCGTTTGGTTATATCGATCGAATAGGTTGATTGATTTTGTTTAATATATGAAATTGTGGTTGAATGATTGAATTGGCTAGCTTATTCTGCCGATTTATATGAAAATTATATTTGAAATATATTTTATTAATAAAATTAAGAAAAAATTATACTCCGTATGAAAATAGCTAAAATAATCCTCTATAGTAATTTTAGTCAATACAGTCAGAAAAGTAACTTCAACCACATTTTTCATATCATTACACAATTCAGATTTCAAAAATCAAAATTATGTGTTTTGTAAAAAAGTTGACTGATATGGCGAAAAACATGATTAATTACCAGGCAAGCTCATAGTTTTTCAGTTTTTTAGTACATAAAAATCATTTGTGATTGAATAGTTTTGTTTGATATTAGTAAATTAAACGTACGTGGTATGTGCCTTTATATGCAGTGGCGGAACCAGAACGAAATTAAAGGGGGTGGCTAAAAGTATTAGAAAATGCAAAAATATAAGTTGTTACTAAAGTTTACAGAATATAAAATTTGTGAGAAGAGTACATTACATTACAATTAAATGTTAGAAGAAGAAGTCAATTTAGACAATTGCTTGCAGCATGTTTGCATACGTTGAAAATGTTGGAAAATTGCCTCATTTTCAATTTTGGCAAAAATTTAAAATATCTAAAGCAATGAAACTAATTAATCAAAAAATTGCACAATCAATTTCTACTTTATGTGGTATACCAATTCAAGCAATTAATCAATAACACTAAAAAGCAATTAAACTATTGAATCAATAAACTTGCAAAAAAAAAAATCAAACTAGCCGAACTAATGAATCAATAAACTTCCAATTTAAAATTAAATAATTAAATAAAGCATATAACCGATTAAAGCAAGTCAAACAGATTAATGAATCAATAAATTTCCAATTTCAAATTAAATAATTAATTAAAGCATATAACCAATAAAAGTAAGTAAAATAGATTTCAATTATAATTAAAATTACATACCAAAGTTTGGAGATTGGAGAAACAATAAACTTCCGAATTCATACTTCGGATGATTGGAGAAACATCCGAAGAACTCTCAAACTTAACTGCCAATCTGCCATCTGCGAACGTCTGACGAAGCCGGAAGTTTGAAGTCTCAAACTGGAAGCCTGGAAAGAGCCATGTCCATCTGAGATTTTGCCGTCTACCGGTCTGCGGAACTTTGGACGAAGGCGGCCGGCGGAATTTCTGCCGTCTCCGTTCAACTCTCAAGACTGGAACGGCCAAGAGAAAAGCGAATTGGGGGAACGAAAGGGTCAAACGCGTTAGGTACTTACTTAGCTAGGCATATCAGAAATTCAAAAGTATGGCCAAACGACGGCGTTTAAAATGTTCCTGTGCACTTAACCAAACGGCGTCGTTTGATTTATTGATTTAATTAAAAAAATAACAAGCTGGCCTTTCTTATTCTTCTGGTTCGCTGGATCTCGCCATAGCAGGGGCGCATGACAGCTTTCACTGAAAGATGAAGGGGCGCCGGCCAAAACACCTAATACTACTACTAAAAAAAACTCCGACCAAGGGGTGGCTCCAGCACCGGCTCGCTCCCCCCCTGGTTCCGCCCCTGTTTATATGTTGTCTTAAGTGATGATTGAGCATTTATTATGTTCCCTCACTCATTCATTTTCAGACACACTATGTGTTGTTGCTTTGTTCTTTCAAAGAACAACTGCAGCAGCATGTGCGAGTTCATGCCATGGAAGCAGTAATGGCTTGCTGGGAAATCGAGCAGGCTTTACAAAGTTTAACAGGTAACTGTGAAATAATGGAAAATGTTACCCCAATAGGGTACCTGGCAGATATATTTATAATAATGAGAGTTTCCAAAAATACAAAGTATTCCTAATTTAATATTAGGCTATGAGTAACAACGCTCGCTGCATTACTACCTCATCTTCCTGCTTATCTTCACCCTCTCAGGCCATTACTTATTTGATTCACATATGCATTTGGACAAAGTTTTAAAACCTTGACCAAGAAAATAATTGGCGTTTTGACGCTTTGACCTACAAAGTTACCGAATATTAAAGTTACCAAACTTAACTAATTTTGGACAAAATGAGTTGAAATTTTAAATAATCTAAAGTACCTTTCCCTTTTACAATGTTTTTAATAGGACTGATTCCCTTCCCAGATCCGATTTAAACATATTATATTAGAATTCGACAATCATATATATCAAACCAGACTAGATTTAAACAAACTAGTTCAATAAAAAACATTATTAGCGTTGAAGGGAAACGTAATTACATTCAGAATAACAAGGTTAAAGTTTTTGTAATAAGAAGAGCTGAAGAGTAAAATATTGTACGAAGTATGTAAGATCATATGCCGAAAAGAAAATGTAACCTTTATTTTAAAAAAATCGAGAACGGAAATATGTAGCCCTCATTTCAAAATTTGAGGTTTGAATGATAATCTCAATACATGTATATTGAACACAAAAATATGAAACAATACTATTATTCAAATATCAAATGTATTATTTGGACACAAAAAATTTAAAGTTGATTTGAACATCATAACAGTTTTCGAAAATTAAATACTGGAAACTACTTTCTAGAATATAGTGAAGTGGTTTTAATCCTGGTTCTTTGTTATTGTTATAAGAAAGGATATTGATGTTTTAGTCTGGTAAAAATTTGATTGTGTAATTAATAAATTGTGTAAAATTATTGTTATAATTTTACTCACATAAAATTTGATTGTGTAATTAATAAATTTGTCACTACTAAAAACTGAGTTTTTTTCCTAAATAATGCCCAAGGAAAAACTATTTACCAAATTAATGTTAAGTTAAAACTTATTACCAAAGTACTGCTGCTTCCAACCGGAGTTAATGAAAGTCGCCCAATGAAAGGGCGACTTATGTTCGTATTAGTTTCGTGCAAGAATGAATCAACCGGCTGCCCAGCAACAAATAGAAAGCTGGTGGGACCCATATTCAATTAAATCTCTTTACGGAAATGGTCCTAAATAGGACTAAAAAATTCCTAAAAAGCACAAATAGGACTACTATTTTTAAAATTCCCTAAATAGGACTAAACATTGATTTTCTACCCTAAATACCCCTAAGAGTATTAATTCATAATGAAATGCTTTAATTCATAATAAAATCACAAAAAACGTAAACAAATATTTAAAAAACGTAAAAAAATTTAAAAAAAAATTATAAAACATTTATAAAATAAAAAATTTAATTTTTTATTTTTTTAATTTTTTTAAAAAAATAATAAAAAATAGTAAAAACCCATAAAAAATGAAAAAAATTATGGATACATTTCTCACCGCCTCCCGCCGCCTCCCAGCACCACCACCTTCGATTGGTGAAATTTCTTCCACTTTTGGTAAAAAAATGCCATATTTTTCTGAAAATGCCAAAAAGATGGCATAATTACTCTTCAATATGCCAACATTTTCATTGATTATGCCATCATTATGGCATTATTTAAAATGTTGGCATATTTTTGTCCGGTGATGGGAGATGGTGGTGTTGGGGGTGGCAGGGGTGGTAATGTGTTTTTTTTTATTTTATGATTTTTTTTATTTATTTTTTATTTTTTTTAAAAAAAATATTTTTTTTTATTTTTTTAAAAAAATATTTTTATTAATTTTCTATTATTTTTTTACGATTTTTAGTATTTTTTTCGATTTTTATTAATTTTTTTATGATTTTATTATTAATTAAAACATTTCACAAGTTACAAGGGTATATTTGTCCAAACACACATAAATAGTCCTATTAAGGGAATTTAAAAAATGTAGTCCTATTTGTGCAATTTTTCCACTTTTTAGTCCTATTTAGGGAATTCACTCATCTCTTTATTCTTTAAATGACCATAACTTTTTTATTATAAGTTCAATTTTTACAAAAAATATATCAAAATTCGTAATTTTTTATGATCTTTCATATGACACCAATAATGCTTATATAATTTTTAAAAAATTTAAAGGCTAAATGCTTAAGTCAAATACCAAAATTTTGTTTCTATCAAAATTTGTTTCTCACGGTACCTATCTTAGACTCAAAGTGTATATTAAAATTTTTAAATTTTTAATATCTTTAATTTGACATCAATGTTGCATATATATAATTTTTTTTAAAATCTCAATAGCATATGGTGTCCAATTGAAGTATACAAACTCAATGTTATATGGTGTCCAGTTGAAGTATTCAAAATTTCAAACTCAATGCTAGATGCCGTAAGATGTGTAAATAGTATGGACGTTAATTTGATAAATGTGCCTAGTTGTTGATAAATGTGTCAACACAAATCACTCTTAAATTCTTACTTTATATATAAAAAATTTATCAAATTTGATTCAGGCTTTTGCGACTTTGTACATCTTTTAATGTAGTTTCTGAATATGTCATTTTTTTACCCTAAAAATAATTTGAGTGCGGACAAAGATTCGTTTATTTTATCGTTGGTCAAACATCGTAAACCGTAAAGGGACAATAAAAAGGGGGACAGAGGTAATATTTGCAATATTGATGTCAAATTAAAGATTTTAAAAAATTTATAAATTTTCATATGTATTTTGAGCCTAAGTTAGGTACCGTGAGAATTTTTTTTTATAGAAACAGATTTTTGATATTTAAGTTGGACACCATATGGACTTTAATTTTATTTAAAAAATTATATAAGCATTATTGGTGTCATATGAAAGATCATAAAAAATTATGAATTTTGATATATTTTTTGTCAAAATTGAAGTTATATTAAAAAAGTTATGGTCATTTAAAGAATAAAGAGATTTTATTTAACATGGGTCCCACTAGCTCTCTATTTGTGTTTGGCAGCCGGCTGTCACCTTCTTGCGCGAAACTGATAGGAACGAAAGTCGCCCTTTCATTTGGCGACTTTTATTAACCCTAGTTGGAGGCAGCAGTATTTTGGTAATAAGTTTTGACTCAACATTAATTTGGGAAATAATTTTTTCTTCAGCATTATTTTGGAAAAAAACTCCTAAAAACTTTTCTATCAAAATGCGAAAAAAGTTATTAGCTGATCATATTTGCAAGCTAGTAAAGATAGAGGACTAAAAATGAGTACATGCATATATAATGCGACTAAGGGACCATTTGGTTACAATCAAATCGGACTTTTATTTATGCGAGTGCTTATGCTTTTATTTAGGAGTGTCTCCCGGAGAAGGAACAGGGGCAACAATGCCTGATGGTGATGAAGGCCAAGTGGATGGCAATCCCAACTTGTATGATGGTACGCACGGGATTGGGTTTGGCCCTCTTGTCCCTACGGAGAATGAAAGGTCTTTGATGGAGTGTGTAAGGCATGAACTGAAATATGAACTCAAAGAGGTAAAAATGACTTCTAGAAAGTAAGAGGCCGTTTGGAACCAAACACGTAATTAGCCAACTTTTTCATCAAACACGTAATTTTTGTTTTTGCACGCTGAAGTGTGTAATAAGCAGAAAAAGTAAGGTTGAAGTTACTTTTCAGGCTGTTTTGGCTGAAGTTACTGTAGATGATCATTTTAGCTATTTTTATATATAATTTTTCCTTATTTTATTAATAAAATACATTTTAAAAATATTTTTTTTGCTTAAATCAGCAGAATCACTACAACAAAGTATATCTATTGTAGCATATGCAAAAGGTTGCAATATGTGCTAAAAATGTCACAATATATCAAATGTAGCACTTTTTAGTATGCTGCATCCGAGTGGTGTTACAATAGATGTATTGCAGCATTTTTTCATTTTATTGTAACATTTATTGATACAATAATGTTACAATAGATACTATGTTGTAGCAATTTTTAAGGTGCTACAAAACGGTGATGCAAAAGTCACTTTTTGTACTAGTGAATCAGCCAATGCAGCCACTTCAGACAGAACTTCGTAAATTTCAGCAGAATTAGTCAAATCAACCGATTTTCGTGCTATCAAACAGCTAAATGACCGAATTAATAATTTTCTGCAAACAAGCACGTGTGTTTAAGAAGAAGTCCAATCTTGTTGCAAAAAAAAGCTAAGTTCAATCTATTTTTTTATAGAGAAAATTACCTTTTTATCGTTTGTAATTGTAATCATAGTCCATAAACTAATAATCATGCGACATAATTGATCGAGAAATCATTTTAATCAATATGCAACGAAAGTGACGTGCAATCACTTTTTGATCGACCATTCAGCCATCTAAAATTTACTCCGTATATCACACTATCAAGTTATTGACTTATTGATTCCGTTTTTGTATGGTTTATTTGATGGTTTGATACAAATATAGTTTGTTGAATTAAATAACGAGATGTATATATTGTTCAAAAATAATAATAACGAGATGTATATAGTGGAGAAGTGATCTAAGTCTTATTTCAAATGTGTGTTGTAATAGGGGTATCCAAACACATAATTAATGAGAGATTTAGAGCAAATGGAGAAGATAGATGATGAATAATAGAGTTTGTATGAGTGGATATCAATTACGTTTAGAGGCCCCCCCAAGAGAAGTACTATTATATATATATATATATATAAATATAAAAAGCGAAAAGCGAAACATACTGCTAATATGGGCTTGATAGGCCCAATTACGTAAAAAACTAGTCTAGGAAACACAACGTATAATAAAATGTACAATAACATAAATGATGTCCGTAAAACGTAGGCCCCTGTTTAGTGTGTTCACGCCCAATTGTCGTGAGACCGATGGTCCGAGCTAGTCTCACACTCTATTATGTGATTTCCAATGTTATTGTTATATTTGAGTAATTTTTTTGGAATCTATTCATTCTCATATTTTGGATTATACTCCGTATATGTTTTCCATTCACCCAACATACATAAACAAAATTAAAAATGGTTAACAATGCATGAATGGGCAACAAAGAGTTTCAGCCACGCACCCAAATTTGTTCTAATCTTTTTCAATGTGAAGAACTTTTAAAAAATTTATTACTTCATGTACAATTAATTTTTAGTTGAGAAAAGAGTACTCAATAGAACTCAGAGATAAATATGCTTTGAACTTTTTTTAGTAATACTATCCACAAAATTGTAACACATTCTTTAGAACTTTTATGTCTCTAATAGTTGAATGGTACGTTACGTATATACTCCAAATTCCAACCATTTCCATACTAATATAATTTTGTCCATTTTTTTTATATGACCATTAACCCGGCATTTCTTTGGGACAATTGACATGATTATGTTGAATGTTATCTTCCGTGACCATCTGTCTATGCCAATAATGCCATAGGGTTATAAGGAGAAGATTGTAGACATTCGGGAAGAAATTCTTCGCAAGAGAAGGGCGGGAAAACTCCCTGGTGATACCACGTCTGTTTTGAAATCATGGTGGCAATCACACGCCAAGTGGCCATATCCAACAGTAAGTCCAACAATGTTCCCAGTTTGACCTCAAAAATAAATTCGACTTTACTGTGGAGTGCACTGTTTTGCACTGTTTGGGCACTATTTGAGGCTGTTTTGTATTGTTTTAGTGTAGATTTGTTTGACAAATAAGGAAAATGTGAAATTGCATGGGACACCAGAAAAAGGAAAGTGAGAACTTAAATAGGATACTGAAGGAGTATGAATGAAAGCAATAACTCTTGAAATGATATCAGAGTCAAATCAATTCATAATCATGCAAAATGACACAAGTTCTTATAAAAATGACGATTATAATAAGAAGGTGAATGTCGGCATGATGTTGATGAAGTGCTTACGCAAGAGGGATAGTGTGGGGGTAGTGTTGAAGTATTATATATAGTCTGAAAACAAAAATGTTGCAAGTGCTAAACATTTACCCATGATGATTGTTGAATTGTACTTGTGTTTTTTTGGTAGGAGGAGGACAAAGCTCAATTAGTGGAGGAAACGGGGTTACACCTAAAGCAGATAAATAACTGGTTCATCAACCAGCGAAAGAGGAATTGGAACAACCACCCCTCCTCTTCCACAACTTTGAAGAGCAAACGCAAAAAGTAGAACATAAAACACGAATCAAGTTGGAGTCTTTGGCAATTATTTGAGTAAATATTATACCACTTATAGAGTAAACTAGCGTTTGCTCGCGCAAGGCGCGAGAATGTTTGTCCAATATTAATGCAAAATTTGTAAAATCCGAACCATATAAAGTCATAAATTCAACAAAGTATTTGATTAAAAAAAACTAAAAAATAACTACTCCGTATAATGTACTACCTCTGTTTCACAAAAAACATCACACTTTCCTATTTTGGATGTGCCAAAATAAAAGTCACACTTCCTTTATTTCCTTATTTGGCAAAGAAATCTACATCAAAACAGTGCCAAACAGTGTCAAACAGGGCCAAACAGTGTCAAACAGTGTCTAAACAGTGTCTAAACAATGTACTCTACAGTAAAGTCAATTTATTTCCTTAATAACTGTGAAGTCAAACTGTGACATTTTTTGTGAAACAGAGGGAGTATGTAAATGTGGATGTTGAGCAAATCCTAGGAAAGTGAAGTGGAGTGAAGTTGTGATAAGAGTGTGAAGTTGGGAATATAAAAATTGTTTAAATTTCATATTTTAAAAAAAAAGTCTGATTGGAAATGAAGTGTAACAAGTGTACTCCATATAAATTTGAATATAGATTTCATTATTTACTATCTTGTTTTTAGCCAACAAGATACTCATGGTACTGTAATCATAAGCAACACATTCACATATAGGCACCCATAATCGTACAAGAAGATAGTTTCCCCACTCAATTTAATAGCATGAATTGAGTGGATAGATGAAGTGTCGACTCAAGCTTTCAAAGTTGAATTATACGGAGTATTGTTTTTTAGTTCGTCTGGTATGATGATGAACGAGCAAGGATATGTGCCGCAAAAGTTAACGGATGTGAAAGCATTAGACGGTGTAAGGGTAATGGAGCGAAATGAAAAAGTAGGTTCCACTTTTTAATAGCAATGTACAACATCTTATGTCAAAGGTGTATTGACACAAATCAGGGGTACCAATCATGATTCACAATTATATTGTTGTTAGATAAATGAAAATAAAATGGTGAATCCCTAGCTTGGCATGGTTTCCACTCTAATCAGTTCAATGGTTCCTGATTTTGCAAGTCTCTCATTGTCTTTTTGGTAAAAAGTAGTCGGCATAGCCAGGGACAAAATTTAGAGAGAACTGATGTAAATAAATTTGTTAAAAAAATCCAGTCTCAAATCTCCCGAACAATATATTCTCTCACGCCAGTGTGAGGCTTAATTCCTTGAATTTCACTCTAACAGTATCAAAAACAAACCAAACACCGATAAACTATCACTTGAGCTAATTAAGTGCTTTGTGACACATTTAGGTTAAGAACAATGGCAAAAACCAATCCCAACACGCATCAAATGTGTGTTGAAATATGGACTTATCAGTCACCTAGAGAAAATGTGCTCTCCAATTTTAGGGGCATTTAGATAGAAGCAACAACTTCTATCAACATACAGCTAAAACACAACCTTCTCCTCAAACACAACAACATTACAAAGGAGAACTTAGGTGGAATGTACTTTTTCCAGCTAAAACTTATCCATCCAATGCTTGGTGGTGCTTTTAGTTCTCATAATATCATACACTTTTGATGAGACTAGATTCCCATTTGGGTAGCACTTCTGCAATTTTGCTACAGTAAGATCCTTACCCCCAAAGGTCCCAAGAAGCCTATCCTTTTGACAAAAGCCGCCTGAGCAGGGTCAATGAGATCCGGCAGCAGAACATTTAAACTGGATCTTCGAAATGGTCTTATAGGTCACATTGGTAAGAGAAAAAGGTCTAATGTCGCTCATAGTGGGGTGTTAGGAAGTTTTGGGTATGAAGGCGATAATAGTTTGAGTAATAATCTGTAAGGTAAAAAAATTCCCTTACAGCCTCAGAAAATTCCTTCCCTATCATATTCCAGTTCTCCTTGAAGAAAGCCGCGGAGTAACCATCTGAACTTGGTGCTTTATCATCCCCTATGTAACACATCTCCCTTAATCTCCATGCCAGTAACGTGAGCCATCAAAGTTACTACCATATTCTCTCTTTTACACCTCTCCCTCCTCATTAATTCCTCTCTCATATCTCTACACCTCGTGATTGAGCCAGAGAGATTTATGTAATATCCTAAGAACTCCTCAGCCACCTTCTTTTCTGAAGTAATCACCTTCCATCTTTTTTCAGTATAGAGGAGACTGAGTTTCTTACCACATTCCTCATAACAATGGCATGGAAGTATTTTCATGCTTCTATTAGCATCCAACAAGTGGTCAATTTTTGCTTTTTGCTGACGGGAGATTTTTCCACCTTCTGATAAGAACACAGCTCTCCCCTAACCTGGTTAGCAATTATGGAATACATTCAATTCTTCATTTAAAGGTCCTTGGCCATTAGTTTGTGAGCCCTTTGACACTCCTCTTTAGCTTTTAAAGTCTTCGTTGTTATATGCTCCAAGCTCCTTCTATAAAGCTCCTTTAAAGGATTCTTGAGCATTTTAAGTTTAGAGCAAAGGATATACTGGCTATTGCCAGCCCAACTCTTGTCCAACACATCACTTAGAGTTAAGTTAGAGGTACTTACACTCTTACAAAGTCCTATAAAAGAGTTATGTGGCAACATCACATTATTTAACACATCTCATTTAAATAGGCCACATATGTCCGTTTGTAAGTTTTTTTTGTAAGTGTGTTTGTAATTCTAACATTTTCCCATGACTTAACACCTCCTTACAACTTGGATCTCTCATCCACATTGAAAAACTTATAATGAACAAGTGTCATTAACTCATTATTATGGGGCAGTGATGAGATATAGCATCAATTTCTAAAAAATTTGCATGGCATATCAACCCCTGCTCGGTTCCAATCTTGATTCATCAAAACCCTATCCAGTTTTGCCCATTTCAGATTTCTATGCCAAGTAAAAATGTCGCCCATGGTGGGAGCATCCTCAAATTTAAGAACATTTATGCAAATAGCCAAATCCACTTTTGATAAGAAGTGGGGTCGTTACTCCCCAAGCTTTCAAGTGGTGATCTCACACAATTGGAATCACACAAAACTGCCCACGGTTCATTAATACTTTGCCCCAGGCAAGTAACATGTTCCCACATCACTCTCCTTTCAACCACCAAGTAGCCAATAAAGATATCAGGATTCAGCATGGTGAGGCACTTCACCTAACAATGTTCCTTCGTTCTTTTTTAATTGCAACAGTTCATTTTTTACGTTTGTCAACGAACAAGTTTGACCATTAATATCTTTCATTCCCTATTAGTAAAAAAATTAGATTTAGAAAATTTTAAATGAGAGGAATTTAACAATATTTTTTTAAATTTAATTTATAATACATAAATAAATAAAATAGAGTCAAAGTTGAACATGTGAATAGCGTAAAAAGTCCAATGTTGCATTTAAAATAGAACATAGGTAGTATAAATTAGGGGCCACAATCCATGATAATACACTCCACTCTGAAAGGATCCCACAACACTCCACTCGGATTGCATTGGCTGATTATATTGATGACAACAAATTATTCTGGCTGTTTTGATTAGCTGATAGTAAAAACAGTTTTCAAAATGGTGTTTGATTAAATGGCTATTTACAATCAACTGATAATTTGTTCAATAAGTTTTAAGGACATCATTGTTTTTTTTGTGAATGTTATTTAGTACTAGTAGAACGACTTAAAACATTTTTAATTTATGATTGAAAAAATAAAAAGTCTATGAACAAAATTAATAATTATCTTAATATTTCCATAAAAAAAATTATTTTAACATTTTTTCACGAATTACCAAATTAAATCAGTATGACAATAGTTTGCTTAATACATGGAGTTATATGCATGGGTGAACCCAGAAAATTCATATTGGGGGGTTCAAAATATTTTTTGGCGGTGAAAATTATTTTTTGAGGGGCGAAATTTATTTTCCATATATATATACACTAAAAACAATTGTTGGAAGGGCGGTAGCCTCCCTGGGTCTCTACTACGGTCCGCCCTTGGTTATATGTAAAATATACAGAGTACTAAGAAAAAATGGGTAACAAAAATGAAAGGGAAAAGGGGCAAATAAGCCCTCGAACTACTCAAAAAAGTGCAAATAAGCCCTTTTGTAGGAGGTTTCGTTTGTCTATCGTCATTTGGGGAGGTTCCCGGTGGAATTATTTGATGAAATTTTTTGAGCATCTTATTCAATAAGTCTAGTTTAGTCATACCGAATTTCAACTAAAAAATCAATCGGGAAGATAGTCAAATGAATTTTTGAAGATAACTGCGCAGTTAAACAACGCAGTGTAGTTCCGAAAGTCATTTGAGTGCCTTCCCGGTTGAATTTTTAGCTGAAATTTGGTATGGATAAACTAGACTTAATGAAGAAGATGCTCAAAAAAATTCATCAAAAAATTCCACCGAGAACCTCCCCAAATGACGATGATCGGACAGAACCTCTTACAAAAGGGCTTATATGCACTTTTTTTATTAGTTCGAGGGCTTATTTGCCCCTTTTCCCAAAATGAAAATTGTATTAAAATATTAATGTAATCATAATGAAAATAATGATGATAAAAATTCTAAATTGTTTATAAAATAAAAAAAAAACTGATTAAATACATTAAAGAAACTAACCTGCAATATTCAATTAAGGCTTACTTTCCCTATGATTAGTAGTGGATAACAAATAAGACAATTTTTTTTTATGGTAAAACATAAGATAATTAATCATCTGGAAAACGGGTCCACATACTATTACTTTTTGTCTTTTGCGGAAGAGTGGAAATGACAAGTACAAAGAAGATGAGGCGTTGTGAGCTGAGTGTAACAAGGATATATCAGCTATATATTCAAGCTATCATATTTATTTAAGCTATATAGTCATTTAACCCTGTGCTGGTTAATTGGATTTTCCACTTCACTTTTTATTTCAAACGGTCAAAATTAGAAAATCCAATAAAAGTAGCATTTACGACTTGGATGTTTGAATATATAGCCGATATATCCTTGTTATACTCAGCTCACAGTGCCTCATCTTCTTTGTACTTGTCATTTCGACTCGGGTTAAATGACTATATAGCTTAAATAAATATGATAGGACAAATTAATAACCTAAATTATGTTTTTT